GTTACAAGTTAACTCAAATAAATCACTTAAAATCAAATGATCGCTTTTTACCTCCAACCAAACAAACTTCTTAACACTTCTGCAGTTTTTATTGTGAAGAAATGAATACAATTTCTATTTTGGGGGAGGAGGGGCCAGGAAGTCCCATTTTTGCTTAGTCTAGAAAGATATTTGTCAATTCTCAGCAACAGCAATGCAAAACATGTCACTTTTTTTTCTTTCAGCCATGTTTAACTGAATTGGCTCTAGTCAATTTTATAGCAAAATTCATAGTTTGTTCTGAATTTAAAATGAAAGTAAGTTAAGATATATGAGGTACTAAATATATGATGAATAATTTGTGTTGTAAGAAATTTTTTCAGAATTATAATAATGAGATTTAATTTTTTCAGTAGTATTTTATTCATGAAAAAATGTAACTGTATGAAAATAAATTTCTGACGTAAATTTATTAGCAGGTTTAATGCTGTCATTTTTACTCTCAGTTTCAAGCATCCAGCATCCAGAGGTGAGGGAATTTTCATCAGCACAGACAGACTGTTCGTATGGAGCAGAATGAGATTATTAGCACTTTAAATTGCTGCTTTCAAAAAGTTGCTAAAAAGATTTATTTATTTATTTAAGAACAAATCTGTTCTCCTTCGTCCTCCTCTAAGGAAAATAGCCTATAACTATTATACATAGAGCAGGTATGCTAAGTAAAAGTTTGTTTTTTTTAACATTAGTAATGAAGTTTGAATCTATTTTAACTGTGCATAAAATGAGAGCAGAATTATTGCACCTCGTTCCTGTAAATATGCATATTTTCCATTCATTTCTGAGAGAAAAGCAGAAATGTTTTCTAGATCTAAACCACATACAAAGTACTAAGACAGAAGAGTACCACAACTGTTGTGAGCAGTATTTTTTATTTATTTATTTTTGGTAAATACAGACGGAAATGAGGCGATTACACATTTATAGAGCGGTTCTCTGGATGATTTAGATATTTCTGCAGGGGAGGTGGCCGGTGGGAGGTGGAAGAAGAGGCGTAAATGTTGGTGGGAGAGCGTTTGCCCTGCAGCACATGTTGTGTCGGTGCTCTTTTTATGCACTTATGCAAGTATGCTTCTCATCAATAACCCTCTAAACACTCGAGCCTTACTTCCAGTCACACCTGTAAATAAAGTTGCTCTGTGAATCTAAAGGGAACAAAGCCCAAATCAGTTACATAAATTCAGACAAAAAAAAAAAAAAAAAACGGCTGGCTATTTTAGAATTAAGGGAGAAAATATAAATACAGTACTGTCTATGTAGTGGCATAAACTGATTTGACTTTAAATTACAAAAGTAAACTATTACGTTAAATCATTTTTTTTTTAGTCAAAATTGAACAAACGTGGTCCTTTTTAGTGTGTTGCAGGGAATTTCTTTGACAGAAAGCATGTTTTTGTTCTGCTCTGCTCCACAGCAGCCGGGGCCGCCCACCAGCAGCAGCAGCTGCAGCCACCACACTTAACTGAGCCGTTCTGCTGAGCCATGACAATCGCAACAGAAACTGGATGACACCGATAACCTGAGTGTCATTGACACACCGCATACTCGGGGGGACAAACTTGATATGTCACTATGGCAACCATGTCATCATTTTTGATCTTCTTGGACATTAGTCGTGGACTTTTTTTTTTTTTTTTTTTTTCACATTAGTTGTGTATAAAAATGTTAACATTAAAATATTGTAAAGGAAAGTTGATGCCTAGATAAAGCTACTTTGTTTGGCCTTTTGAGGTAGCAAAGACATTTATATTGATCAATACGGGCAGAGCAAAGACCTCCAAGCCACCAGGGGGCCTCCAAGAACACCAGAATGATCAAATTTACATTTTTATGAATAACACCTCATGTAATAGAAAGCTAAACTTGTAATATTTGATGCGTAAGATGCTACATGATGAATCATTGCAATCATACGGCAGATGTTACTTTTTTTTTACTTAAATATTTAGTTGCTAAGTATTTTGAAAAGTAATAAATGATTAATGTCTTTATTTCAAAGTTGACTTTTAGCAATCTCTGAAATGTCATTGGTGGATTGCGGTAATGTTGCTTTATTTAAACCATTTAGACTAAATGAAGACAGTAAGAGAGTTATTTACTTCTAAGGCTTTAGCAGAGCCTCCCCTACGCTGGGTTAGCAAAACATCCTGAGTTGAGATGCCATTGAAGAAGTTTCTAGGATGCAGTAAAGACGGCAAACTGTACATTTTACTGAGTTTGCTCCAGCTGACAGAGATGCATTTGTGGTCAGATTGAGACTGCTCAGGGGTTGGCATTGTGAACCCTTATCTTTGGGTACAACCAAAGCATTCAAAGCCAGCTCTCTTTACACATCCCTCCTGCTCCCCTCACCTTTTCCTGCTTCCATTCTGCAAGCACACAGGAACTCGGGGAGATGCAAAAACAAAAACTAGATTATCGTCGCACTCTATGTGCACTGCAGGGCATGCTGCTTACAATAGCAGAGGATTCTGTTTGAGCCCGCCTCACGACGGAGTCGCACAATCACTAAAATTCAATTAAAGGACCTCTGAAAATTCCTCAGCGTGTGACAGGCACCGAACATGTCTTCGGGCCACGAGCGTTGACGCAGCGGAACGCCGCCAATGGGAAATTTTAAACGCCAGCCAGAAACCACGAGGAAAAGGTCAAGAGGCGTAATAAGGCCGGAACGTCATTTCTTGAATCTGCGTGACATTTTCAGGCGTTCGACGGCGGCTCAGTCGATACGTGAGAGCAGCCTTGTTGTGCGGTCTGCCACGAGAGCCTCGCTTAAAAGAGCAAACGGTAATCAAACGCCCAAAAAGATGAGAAACAAACAAAAAGAAAGATTCCCTCGGACGAACGCCAGCCCCCACAAGGAGCGCGTGCATTACTCATCCCCCACAGAGCCGCCTTGCTCTGGTGTATTGTGGGAGGACTGGGGGTGGGCGGCTGTGCAGGAGATTGAGAGCTGCCTTGCAAGACTTGCATGACTTCGGCTCGCATAAAAGATACTGTATCTACATAATGCTTCCTCATCTTCCCCCTCAAAAACAACACACACACACGAAAAACCTCTCGTGTGTGTGCCTTTCTACCACTTTCAAACTCATCAGGAAAGCCAGTGTGGTGGAACCCAGACATCTTGATTCACCTGCGCTTCACCTTCAGAGCCACACACACACACACACACACACACACACACACACACACACACACACACAAAGGCAGCACACACAATGAGTGAAGGTCTTGTTCTTGTCCCAGGTGCAGAGAAATCTGTGAAGCAGCATGTGGCTTGTCCCAGTTCCTCTATAGTACCTGTGTGCGTGCGGACGCGCGCCCGAGCGCAACTGCGTATTGCGACAAGACTGACCCATTTGAATCCTGATACAGGCGCTCGCCGATGCGTTGCCTGAAACTAGTTCAACATGTAGGTTAAGCTGCAGCTGGCGCTTCCGCATGGCAGAGAGCGGTGGGCGCCAGGTTGGCGCGGGCTGGCAGAGAGGTCAAAGAGCACGGTGGGATTGTTGGCGCGTATTTGCAACTATAAACTTAATGCCAAAAAAAAGTGCTGTCGCCTGCAGAAATAAAGGAAGGAAGGAAGGGGCGGCGGCACCATCAAAGAGGTGAATGGGTGGGAAGTGGACACCTACTTGAATTTGCTGCGGCCCTTTTGCTAAGCTAATGTTAGACGATATTGTTTAGGACAGGAAATGACAACTTTCAGTAAACTGCAACCTTTCTTTATACGTTGAATATGCTTGATAATTTTTCCATTCATCTCAGATTTTATGTTACATGTTAAATGTACTGTACTGGCGTAGCGATTTATCAAGTCCAGAGGACTCCATAGCGCCTCACACTATATTCAGTGGACGAGGCTGGCCGGCGCCACCGGGGGCCTCTGACCACCACCAGCAGGCAAGAACACCACAACGGAGGTGGACGGAGCGGGGGCTCGAAGTGGCGACCCACTGATTACTGGACGAAACAGCCAAGAGGCCTTTGATGGCTCAGGAGGAGCTGCAGAGATCCACAACTCGGGTGGGAGAAACTGCTGACAGAACAACCATTAGTCATCCACAAATGTGGACTTTATGGAAGAGTGTCAAGAAGAAATGAATACCTAAAGAAGCGGTATTACTCAAAATCAACTTTTTGATTTTGATCAAGCTTTACATGGTGTCAAAATAATACCTGGAGCGTTTCTTTGATTCTTTCATGCATGTTTGAGAAATTATTTGATCTCCATGGCAACCAAGTTTCCCCTCAACAGAGCAGCCCTCTCAGGCGACTCCCCCACTCAGCTCCTTCAGACTAGCCGGCAGCAATTAGCAAACACCTGGTGGGACTGCTGAGCTCATTTCCTCCTAGTGCAGTGCTGGTAAAAACGTTGTTAAAGGGTTAACAGAGGAGCCATGTTATGATGACTTCCTGATGGCGTAGCTTCAGAAAGAGCGGGAGCTACTTAAAGAGACAGAGGCCCAATTTCAAGACGCTAAATCATAAAGTCAAATTTCTCTTAAGTCATATTTCATATAAACAGCTTTTTCAGAACAAGTGAATGTAAGACATTCATTGTGCTATGAAGTGGCACTATGTGGATGGAAAACATAATACTGCCCCTTTAAGGTAGCCAACAACTGAAGTTGGGGTATATAGGCAGACTCAGTCCAGAAGAATATGCAAATAAAAAAATAAAAATAAATCCGCCTCTTGATGTGTGAAAGTGGAATTGAGATTCACAGCTTCCCGACAAGAGCTAAATGAGTATTGTGTTGTTTTAAAAATATCAAGCACACGTTTCATCTTCCATAGGATTTCTGCTCCATCCCCGATTTTGGTGTACAACTCCTCAAATTTATCAGTGGTCCCCCCCTCATCTGACTAAACTTTCTGGAGACGTCCCTGGGAGCGGGGTCAGGGAGGCTGGAGCTTAGAGAGAAGATGAGAGGTGGGGAGGGGGGGAGACTCCCTCTGAGAATTGTGCCCGGGTTTTAATGTGTGAGAGGGGAAGGAGAAAACAGGCAGGGATGGAGAGAAGAGAGGGAATGAGAGAAAGAAGGTGAGAGAGACTGGGAAGGATCCGGACAGGAGGTGACCGCCTGGTGTTGTAGGGTGAAAGTGTGTGTGCGTGAATGCGTGCGTGTGTATGTATGTGTGTGTGTGAGACTGTGTTGCGCTTGTGGCGGAGAGACCGCAGAGAGAAATCCACACAACTTCCAGCATCCTCCCTGCGCCGCTGCGCCTCTGCGCCGCGCTGCGCCCCGCCGCTGCCGCCACCGCCGCGTCTTTTCCCCCAGTCTCTTCTACCGGGACTCAGGCGGCTTGGCGCGGTGAGATGTGAAGAGGCTTGAAGTATGGCATGCGAGGATGCTGTTCGCAAAGAAGAAGGAGATGGTGACGGCGACGCGACCCGCGTTCATTCGGACCCTGGTCTACTTTTTCTGTTTGATGACTTGGTGAGTGCGGTGCCGGAAAAAAAAAAAAAAAAAAAAAAACCCTGACGGATCGGATCAGTTCACACCTGAAAGTTCAGTTTTTATTTTTAATTAAAAAAAATAATTATTATTATTATTTCATTTTTCTCGTAGTGCGAAAACAATCTCCGGACAAACAAGGAAGGATGAGAGGATTTACCCGGAGAATTTTACTCGGATTTTGGACCGACTTCTGGACGGCTACGACAACAGGCTGCGACCTGGATTCGGAGGTATTTAGAGGAGAAGCGCAGTTTTTGCGCACCGCAGAACAAGCATCGCACAATTCACAGCACTTTGTTGTCTCTTTGGAAATGACATTATCGGCTTAAATGAAAAGACTGAAAATGGAAATGATGTCACTGTTTGCCAAAGAACCGCTTAAAACATCTTCTCCTTACGGAGACAAACAATTTGAGCCCAAAAAGGTCAAAATTATTTTCCATCATCCAGCTTTAGCGTCTCCTCCTTAACTTTTTTTTTATTACTACATTAGAAAATAAATACATGAACTTTTTATTTTTTGCGCAGGGCCGGCCCAAGGTTGTCCGCGGCCCCTGAGTAAGGGTGTCATCTCCAGCTTTGTCCTTCAGGCGTGCTGCATTCAGTTTGTTTCTGAGGCCAGAGCTCAGAATGACGTCACACCAGAGTTGAGTGGGTTGTTGAGATTCAGAAAACCAGCGGGAGTTTGCCGGGTTTGGTGGCTGTACTGGACAGCGTGAATGTCCAAGTTCAGGGTTGGAAATGTACAGCAAGCGGAATTCTAAACCGGGAACGTCGGAAGTGTTGAAGTGGCCAGTATGTACGGAAAAGATGGTGGAAAGTTGAAGGAATAAACAATTTGTTTTGTTGTGTGTCTGTAAATTAAAGGAACCTCTTTCCGAGACACAAACAGCAGAACTTATTACATTTAAATCTGACAGCTGGCATATTTTCAAATTTAAAAAAAAGTTTTACTTTGTAGGTAAAAGGTCATGAGGATAAAATTTCCTTTGTATAAATACAAAGGAAAATACTGTGGCAACATCTTCTAAATATTAGGGAACACGTCAGACCTTGTTTAAACAAGAAAAGAAAAAATAGAGAATTAGTTTTTCTCTTGATATACTCGTCATATTATCGGTGTGTAGGCCTGTCATAATAAGCAATGAATCAATTAATCGCACAGCAAATGAAAATGAGTTCAATAATTTTCATATTTATTGTTTATAGTTCTTCACTTTTCTCTCTTTCTACCAAAAACCGAGTGACAAAAGTCTTCAGTCTGGTGCTTTGGTCTCAACTAGCCATTTATTTGAAGGACAGTTTTGTTTGCATAGACTTCATAATTCATTTTATTTGTTTGTTCATGTTGGATATTTAAAATGTCCTTCAGTTCCAGAGTTACAAGTTTGTTAGAAGTGAAAGCTTATTGATTTTTGATAATGTGTTCTTGCATTATTATCCCATCATATTGAAAAAATGATCTCAAAACAGCGATATTATCGTTTATCGTAATAACTTCTGGGGAACAATATATTGCCCAGCAAAATGTGCTATCGTGACGGGAGTGCTGATGTTTAAAACTTGTAGCAGCTCTTTGTTTTGGTCAGCAGGTCAGCAGGAGGTCTTAACTGCATTTCTTCTCCAACCAACAATCTTACAGAACAGTGAAAACTTGTTGAATGTTCTCACCGAAGGCTTCGTGCAAATGTTTAGGATGAACGAACAAGAAAAAGGGTTTAAGACGCCAAAATGTGAAGTAAGCAGAAAATAAATCAAATTCTAGTCACTTTATTTGATCTTACCGCCCTCAAAGTCTCTGAAGATCCATCAAGTGCATGTCAACACTGTGGCTCTGCGCCCAGCAAGGCAACCGTTTACTCTGGACTCCACAGGTCTTGCCTTTTCTGGAGGAAAAAAGAAATCTCTTCTCAATAGCGACACATAAGCTAGTCATCGACGCGGAAACGCGATGCATGGCAGAAAACCGACTCTCCACATCAGTGTGAAACTTGGAAGCGGCAGCATTGTGCTGCGGGGGATGCTTTTCTTTAGCAGAGACAGAAAAAGGTGATTGGAGGCAATGGGAAGCAGAGTGGGACTAAATAGAGAGCAAAATGTCAGAGGCAGCACTAAACTAAGACTTGAGTTTAGAGGTGGGCATTTATCGTATCATTTATCATTTATCATCATAGATTTCTTATCGCGACAAGTTTTTGATTTATCCCTGTCTCAATAAATTGTAATTGATGATGTTTAAAAACCGTTTAAAAAACACTAAAAACTGTACTATTTTTCTCCAAACTAGAATCAACCAATCAGAGACAGGAGGCAGGACTTAGCGCTGTCAATCACCATCATAATTCCCCCTACAGGAAGTCTTTATGTCAACATCGTGCTCCTACAACCTCTCTCCTTTGCTCTCTGCTACATTGCAGCTAGAATAGTCTATCATGAACGCAATAAGAATCGTTAGCACAGTCACCAGATAAACAGTGAGTTGTGCCATTAGCACATTTAGCAGCGCATTCACAGGATTGATTTGAGGCACTAAGATCCTCCTCCTGGCACTGATTGGTTGTTTTTGGTGGAAGTGGTGCATTTCTTCAAATGGCAATAAAATATCAGAAAGGATATGGAGGAGAGCAATGTTTTCACTGACTTTCTGTCTCATACTGTCACAACATAGCGATAGCTTTATTAAAAGTTACATACTGCAGTTTTAAAGACAGCTTAAGCAAACCTGCTTTTACTTCCTAAATATTAACTGTTGAGAAAAAATGCAGTAAGCAGGAAATCCAAAGAATTACAATCAATTTGTTCGATCTTAAGACGCTCATAAGCAGATGAAGCCTGAGGAAATCCTCCATTCAGGACAAAGGAAGTCTTCATGTCAACATCGTGCTTCTATGCTCCATCTCTCTAACTCGCATTGCAAGATTAGCATTGTATGTAACGCACTGCTTTGTAAACCCACAATGCGACGCCTGCTGAAACGGCGTCTCGCTCTTCGTACTTACAGTGTGACGGGTTTGCCTTTAAAACGAGCGGCCCCGTATGAGTGAGGGCAGTTACATAATCCCCTGTACGTTTCAGGACAGATGCACAACGGTCGGTTCAAGAGGTAAAAAGTATGGATTTGGTTTTCATGCGTGATGTCTGCTGAATATTCATGTTGGGAAGCAGCGAGAACTGGTTTACTGCGCAAAGCGGCCTGTCAACGGGAATGTCCGCGTGCAGGCGCACGCTTATAGCTCGTCTTCACACTGGGACTCCACATCCATTCAGTGAAGGGGAGAAAAATCAAACAGGATTATGTTTTTTTTTTTCTTTTTTTTTTACATCTTCTAAGCTATTTCTCCATTGCATTATGCAGAGTACTACACAGCTCCAGAAGAGATGAGTTACTGCACATTTCCTAGATTTTATTATGAGGAGCTGTAGCTGTACTTTCTGAGAAAATGTCAGTGAATGTGATCTCTGTGGTGTATTTAATTGACCCGACAGGTCCTGTGACAGAGGTGAAGACTGACATTTATGTGACGAGTTTTGGGCCAGTCTCAGACGTTGAAATGGTACGTAGCTAAACTCTTGTCATGTTGAACTCTGTTCTTACTTTTACGCAACTTTTTGTGCTGTCAGGTTGCGATTCAACATATATCACAAATTTACTTTTAACACAATATCACTGTATGCAGTATGTATATGGTAAAGAAATGTAATCGGTTAGTTAAACAGCCCAGGTCTTTTGTTCAGCATTCAACCTCCCCAGTACTTAAGCACCTCAACCTCAGTCACTCTTCGCCTGTTCCTTTCGTCTACTCACTTCTTCTAACCTGTGTTCCCTTCCTCTTGTCTGCCTGCTAGGCTCCTTCTATGAATTTTTGGTTTGTGTTTTTTGCCTTGACTCTTTGTGATTTTTGTACTTCTTTTTCATTATCTTTTCATTAACATGCTAGTGCAGTTCTGCGTTTGGTTTTTTGTCTGCCTTTTAAGGAAAGTACCTCTAATAAAGCTTTTGTGTTTGCTTTGTTGGATAAAGAGCGCTCACTTTTTAAAAGTTGTTTTGCGTGTACTCACCCATGTTAGCGAATTTTAAAACATCCACCGAAGGTTTTAAATTTTGACAGAAGTGTGACAATTTGGAAAAAATGTGAATGGGTCAGTTTGACAAAAGTGAATGTCTTTGAATTGTTAGATCCATCCATCCATTTTCTGAACACCCTTGTCCCTCAGTGGGGTCGGGAGGGGTGCTGGTGCCTATCTCCAGCTAACGTTCCGGGCGAGAGGCGGGGTACACCCTGGACAGGTCGCCAGTCTGTCGCAGGGCAACACAGAGACACACAACCATGCGCACACACACACTCACACCTAGGGGCAATTTTTTAGACAGACCAATTAACCTAACAGTCATGTTTTTTTTTTTTTTGGACTGTGGGAGGAAACCGGAGTACCCGGAGAAAACCCACGCATGCACAGGGAGAACATGCAAACTCCATGCAGAAAGACCGGGGCTGGGAATTGAACCCAGAACCTTCTTGCTGCACGGCAACAGCTCTACCAACTGCGCCACTGTGCAGCCCTGAATTGTTAGATAACATCGAAAAATCTATTATTTTGACAACCCTTATCTTAAATAATACTGTTATCGCGATATTCACCAATTTTGTCACGCATCACGTTTTCTTAATGTTGTGCAGTCGTGGTACTGCATTATTTAGTTATTCAACCAAAACATTACTGCATTTGATATTTTGTAAAAAACAAAATAATTCACACTGCTAATTCTTATCCAGATAAATCCATCCTTGTTTTTGTAACATGTCGGTTTTCCCTCCATTAGGAATACACCATGGACGTATTCTTTCGGCAGACCTGGGTTGATCGGAGATTGATGTACGAGGGCCCAGTGGAGATACTGAGACTTAACAACCTGATGGTGACCAAGGTCTGGACACCGGACACTTTTTTCAGGAACGGCAAGCGGTCAGTTGCCCACAACATTACTGCGCCCAACAAGCTCTTCCGCATCATGAAGAACGGCACCATCCTTTACACCATGAGGTAAAAAAAAAAAAGCCTTAACTGTGTCTCCATCTTATCAACAGCCTGCTGCTCTGCATCTCATTTCATAACTTTCAAAAACGTTGGCTTGCGATTACGTTGCAGACACCTCACATATTGTACATTCCCATATTTCTGCATTTTTTTTTATCCTTTTTTTTTTTTTGCTAGAAAAGGCGAGATGACAGACTGTGTTTGCTATAAAGTAATAAGAGGGATCTAGTGTGGAATCCAACCAAGGTTCTCGGTGTAAACAGCAGAAAGCTGCTCAGAGGCGGTTCAGATGCCAAACGTTTGGCACAGTCCAAAACGTCGCCTTTTTCAACTCGGCAACACATGGGCCAAAATAGGAAATTAACGAGCTGAAAGCTTTCCTTGATTTGTGTACCCTTAAGACACCATGCAGACACTGTAAAAAACAAAAAAACTTTTCTCTACTATCAAAAGTGCCTTACAGTATCCAGAGGACCTAAAAATGAGAGTTTCACTCATGTACCTCCAGTGTTGTGTTGATTCTTTCATGTATGTTTGAGGAAGCTTTGAATCTCCCATGGCAACCATTCTGGGGTGACTAAATGTTTTCTTTTTTCCAAAACAAAACCCAAAACCAAAGCTATTGCTTTTAAAGGGGAATGATGGAGTGTAGTTTTCACTTTCGATGTACTGACAATAATAATAATAATAATTAATAAAGGTTTCTGATTAACAGTAGCAAATATATTTAGAAATTCAACCCATTATGTTTTTAGATCTCGTGTTTTCTGCTGCAGACATGTAAAACTGATCTTGGTCCTAACTTTAACCGTTCCTCTGCTGCAGGTTGACCATTAGCGCCGAGTGTCCCATGAAGCTGGTGGATTTCCCCATGGACGGGCACGCCTGTCCCCTCAAGTTTGGAAGCTGTGAGTGCTTTGGTGCTTGTTTGCGTTTACCTGATGAAATAATGTGCAATGTGTCTTCCAAACACCAAGCAGCAACAGTGAAATGGCAAACCCTGTTGCGAAAGCAGGCAGATCATCGCTGGCTGGGTTTGTGCTGAAATATGAACGTTTAATAGTGGGTTTAGTTTCTGCCAAGAGACTTTTTCAGACACGTCTCTCAGTCTATCTGCTACTACAGCCACCGTATGCTTCACAGATTTGTTTTGTTCAATGTTTTGGGGTGTATTTTAATGTTAACCTGCAGAATCACAACAAAATGTCAGGCGAGCTAAAGATATTATTATATTTGACTGAGAACAATCGATGTGTTGGCCTGTTGTGATACATTTTGCCGGTCGATAAACTGTCCCAGTATTTATCGTGATAAACGATAATATTGTCGTCTTGAGGCTATTTTCAAGTAATATATTGGCAATGGCATAATAATGGAAGTTCGCCCTCTCAGAGGTCAATAAACTTTAATTTATTAAAACACTTGATACACTTCAACTGGAAGGCATTTTAATTATCCAAAAATGAAACACGACAACCAAACACAAAAAATAAAATGGAAATAAAAACCACTTAAAAAAAACATACATCAAACAGATTATGATGTCTCATTTTAACTAATATTAATCAAATGATCCAGCTCATTTTAATATATCATGCGATTAATTGCTTATTGCGATGTGCTTACTGATGCATTTGAACCAACTGAGACAATGTGGCTGCCGTCTCTGTTGGCCTTCTTCCATCTCCATTTTCTGTTCAGTGTCTCCTGGTCTTCTTTCTCTGGAGACTCTGTGCTTTACATTAAAAGGGAGGGGAGGCGAGAAATGGCAGCCACATGAGCAAAAGACACATGGCAAGTGGGCAGGTGTCAGTCTGGGAGTGAGCTCTGGACTCAGGGTAGTTCACCCAGTTATTTTGTCAGCTGTCTCAAAGTTTGCTACAAACTTAGAGACAAAACTTAGACTGCAAATGTTACATTTGCAGAATTTCTGCAAATGTAACACTAACATCAAACCTACAAAAATTGTTTGAAATATTTTGAAAACCATGCATCATTACCCTTCCATTTTGCAATTATAATTATGTCTGTGGTAAAAAATTAGGGTTGTACCAATAAATCGGCCCGGATTTCCTTAATTTTGGGAGATCGATGATCTGCCGATACTTACACCTGACCTTTTCGCTGATCCTACCTCGGCAAAAGTCTAAAAATCGACCACTGTCCTGTTTTGCTCTGCTGTGAGAGAAGTTTGACTGTTAGCCTCGCAGTTAGAAAGTAGTTAACACACCACTGTTGTCAACTCAGCAACTTTCTTGTTGTATCTACCAATTAGTATTGACCAAAATCGGAGAGGTCAGGCTTTTTAAGCATCGGCGATCGGCCAGAAAACTGCAACCGACGCACCCTTGATAAAAACATTTAAGTCTTTAAAGCGACAAAACGTGGAAAAGTTCAAGTCGAGAAAGTCGCATGACTTCATTTCTTGGACTCTGTGCTGAAAAGGATTTGCTGCGGAGCCAAACGCGAGGCGGCCGAGCGCCGTAACCGCATGACGACATGTTTCATTCTTTGTTGCGAGCGACGAAGCCCTAACTCAGCATCCGTGTTTACGCCGAGCCTCGTGGTCAGCAGAAACAACGGAAACAAAGACGCGTCTTGCGCGGAGCGGCTCCGCCTTATCAGGCGAGCGCAGCGATTTGAAGATTACGAGAGAAAGGAGACGCATTTTACACCCGCCGTCAATTACCCGGCGCGGTGACATTGCGGAGGACGTACTCCCATCTTCTCAGTTCTCGTCGTCCCCCTCTCCTCCTCCCTCCGCCGTCCCGCTCATCCCGCTCTGCTGCCGCCTGCCTCCGGTGAGGAGGAGGAAGCGACCGTGAATCTGCAGAGGCCCCGAGCAGAGGAAAGGTCAGAGTCCCTTCCTCCGCCTCGGGACGGCACAGACCTATGCAGCTATTTTCCATAGCCGCTGTGTGTGAGCTCATTTTCTCGCTGTCTGCCTCTCCTTCACTTTTTCCCCTCCATCATCCTACATCTCTCTCTCTGTACCACCTCCCCCCCCCCAACCCGTACCTCTCTCTTCCCCGTCTTCTTTTCTGCTTCTCCATCTGGGCTTGCGTGCACAGGCACGGCGTTCCACTCCATGACACACCAGAGTCATTTCATTTGGCAGAACAGTTGGTGTCCCACCGATGTGGGGTCCCACCGGGAGTGGCAGGCAGAGACAGCTGCTATATAGCTGTGCGCGCACAGACCGGTCAACCTCGCCCGTATGCGAGAGAGGAGAAACGAGACGAGGACGAACGCAACAAGAGCAAATAAGAAAACCTCCATATTCGCGCCGAGGCAGGTGCATCCGAATAACGTAGAATAGCCTAAAACCTCTACTCCAAGCACGTGTTTCTGGTTATTTCAGGGCGTCCACGCATCCTTAGAAAGCTTAAAATTCATGTAAAATTAAGGCCTTAAAATGTCTTTAAACTCGTTTTAAAATGTAACACATTAATCACAGGTATTGTATTTTGTCGTGGACAAACTATTTAATCTCATACATTCTAGTTTATTTTTCTCGCAGGACTTTTCTTTCAGGCAAACGTTGGAGTTGCACACAGACATCTTCACTGCCTTTCACTCGAGGCAGATGACTCTACTACTAACTAGCAGCTAGTTACTAGCTGCTAATATACCCCTGCTAGCTAGCAGCTAGCTAACGTTTTTGCATCTGTTGTTGGGAGATAGTTGAGACTATCACTAACTAGCTGCTAATATACCCCTGCTACCCAGCTAGCTAGCTTTTATGCATCAATCACTGGAAGGTAGATAAGCCCTCTGCTAACTAGCTGCTAAATTACCCTTGCTAGCTGGCTAACTAGCCTTTTTTTGTCTATCAAAAAGTGCAAATTTATCTCCAGTTAACTGGAAAGACGCACGTCTTTGCCACCGACTCACTTTTGTTGCCGACTCACATGATGTTATTTGCATTCTGACCATATAAAATATGTAATTTTCTTTTGTACATTTCTATCACGATACAGGTCTTAAATTTAATTCATATTGGTCTTAAAAAAGGTTTTTAAAAGAAGGCCTTAAATTTGAGTTGGTGGCACCTGCAGAGACCCAGGATTTTGATGATTATGACTGATGGCTCATCAGGACCCCAAAACAGAAATGTTGACCTACTGATGGATTTTTACTATATATTCACTCAGTACTTGACCTAAGCTCCTCTTTTATGAATTCTTGCATCAGCGCAGCGTGGCACAGAGATGATCATCATGTGGTACTGTTGAGGTGCTTTATCCCTGTTGCTTGAGCACCTCTTTTCCTTCCACTCAACTTTCTATTGTTGTACTTGGACACAACCAACAGTTTCAGCAATAACCTTTTGTGGCCTCCCCTCTTTAAAGAGCTCTCCAGTGAAAAATAAATGCTTGGAAAACACTTCAGTTAATAATTGAGACACACATGAAGGCCCCTAAGTGGATGTTGCATAATTAATTTAAAGTTAGATTGATAGGAAATATTGATGATTACTTATAAGCATACAATACCAAATTAAACAACATATACAGTTGATGTCTAAAACAAACAATGTAGTTTGATAATACAACTGATTTTACCGATAGTCTGTGTATTTAGAAATCTGCATTTTTTTTCAGGCTCAGTCTTGCTGAGATCAATTTGACTTTGTAAACTGGCGCTTGCAAAAGACAGAGGACTCACTCACGGTCCATGACACACAGAGCAGACTGGTACTGACTACACATGGCTAATAGGGAGGAGAACCAAATGTTAAAGTGAAGAGAGCTTGTGAGAATTTATTTTAGAGTCACCAGTCAGGCATTTGCTGCAAAAACACAAAATCCTACCAAGTGCTTTTGGTCTGGTTTCTAGAGCAAGTTTCTGAAGACCAAACTAACTCGTAAGTAAGCTTGTTTTGAGTCAATACATCCTTAATATTGATGAAAAAGTACAATTTCCACTGGCACATTATTTCACTCATAATATGGAAAAAATGCCATGTTCTAAGTAAAATAATATACTCGTGGAAATTGTACTTTTTCACCAATATTAAGGATTTATTGACTCAGATTAAGCTCCTATGTCTTGCTGTAAAGTTAGTTTTGTCTTATTTCAAGCATACTAAGATGTAGCAGAAACTAGACCAAAAACACCTGGTAAGATTTTGTATTTTGCAGGGTGGCCGACTCAGATTTAAAGATTTTTATAAAATGCAGTCTAGCAATTTCAGTTTTGACTCATTAGGATTTTTATTAAGCAGGATTACACTTAAAAGAAATGTCCTCAGTTTCTTTGTTGTTGTTTTTTTTATCACAGATGGCAGAAAGCGCAGAGTATGAACAAGCTACGGTTTGGAAATGCCAGAGAAATGTTTGACTGTTTGGAATTAAGGTGAAAAAAGCAGCAAATGTGACACTTGTAATAAAAAAAAAAAAAGAAAACTCAGCAGTAATCTGCTCCACTTCAAACCCAGCCTCATGGATTATTTCAGCACAGTCACAACTCGTTATAGAAACATTGACTGTCTTTTTTGTTTCTATGTCAGCAGAAAAATGCAGCTTTTTTTTTTTTGTTGGACCAAGATAAAAATAAATACATACTTGGAAAAATAGATTGCTTTAGATTTATAATGGGTTTTAGATGGGACTCTGACACAGGCTCATAAAATCAGAGTCTACCTGACAGCTGTAAGTTTCTCTCTCTCTCAATTTATTTTTCTTTTATTTCACATCTCATTCGTTCCGCCTGTCTGTCTTCAGATGCCTATCCCAAAACGGAGATGATCTACACTTGGACCAAAGGGCCTCAGCATTCGGTGGAGGTCCCTCCCGAGTCCTCCAGCCTCGTCCAGTATGATCTCATCGGCCAGACGGTTTCCAGCGAGACCATTAAATCAATCACAGGTGAGCCGCAGAGGTCCTGTCAACGTTTGTATTTATTTTTGCTTTAACAGTAGCTGCATTATGTTGTTGTTTTTTTAACCCCCCAGCCCCCCCCCCCCGAGTCATTTTGCATGAAATCTATTAAAATAGAAAAAGAAAAAAGAAAAAAGAGTTCTTAAATTCACCCTTGAAATCTGAGTGAAAAGCACACAGCGCTGAGTTTATATATATGGTCTGAATGCGGCTCCGCCGGCGATATCGGAGGGATTTTTGGAGCCTTGACACTTGCACAAACACGACAGTCTGTCAGCTGAAGCATGACTAGCACACAGCAGCAGCCTCATGAAGTAAACATCACGGATTGAGTCATTTCACAGGCCAACTGGTTCACCCGAAAAACTGATGGATCCAAAAACAGATTTCAGTTTTTTTTTTTTTTTTTTCTGGGTTGTGTTTTGCAGGACGGGTGACGGGCGTAGATTTGACTGAGAATAGACGGGAGACGAAACGAGGCGTGAAGCAGAGCGACGGCTGTCTTTCACTGATCGGTTTTCTGTTGATCCAGGTGAATATGTGGTGATGACTGTCTACTTCCACTTGAAGCGGAAGATGGGCTACTTCATGATTCAGACGTACATCCCCTGCATAATGACAGTGGTCCTCTCTCAAGTGTCCTTCTGGATAAACAAGGAGTCGGTCCCGGCGCGGACCGTTTTTGGTACGTAGCGCACCGTTTAACCACCGCTGCTGTTGTCCCGCAAAGGGGAAAAATTCAGGTGCAGCAGCAACAGATGTAAAGTTTCACACAAAAAGTGAAAATAAACAAACGAATGACAACATACTTGTATGAGAGTGTAACGGAAAATACCGTGCAGCTTTTAGAAATAGGCATATCAGACTTTTTATGTGCACTGAACTCGCTTTTATTCCATCAATTTTAAAATTATTACACTTAGAAGTCAGGCATCATAAAAATGTTTTTATAGTTACTATAATTGAGGTCAAAGTGCACTGAACTCATGGTTGTTCCATCAAATGTTGATTTCTGAACTCTGAGTTAAAACATTTTTGTTGCTTCTAAATAAATCTGAATTTGTTTTCTTTGAGATCTGGAAGCGCTGCATCTTTTTCCTTATTTTGACCATTTCTCATTTTCTGCAAATAAATACCAAATTTTTGCTTGGAATTTCAGAAACATGTTGTCAGTAGTTCATAGAATAACAGAGCAAAGTTCATTTTACTCAAACATTTACCTATAAAGAGTAAAATCAGAGAAACTGATCATTTGAACAGCTCTCTTAATTTTTTCCAGAGCTGTATTTTTACATATCAGGTCATGACGTCCAGATTGACTGTTCCTTTCTGTTTTCTTCGTCGATGTAAGCTGCTCTCATATTCTCATTTAAGTTTTTTTGTAGTCAGAAAGCAAATTTGCAGAGAGAGAGTGAGAGAAATGGGGAAAGACATCCAACAGGAGTCAGAAGGTTTGGAGAATTGAACCTGAAACTGCTGCGTCGATGGTGTTTCCATGTTTTGTTCAGACAAGTTTGGTTGCAGACGTCTCATCCAGCTTAAAGCATCGGCGATCGTGATTCATCTGTAAACGTTTGGCTGTCGTCCAAGAAATGCACTCTAGGACTCGGCTTGAGGTCACTTTTTCCTTTAGAAACACTTACACATCGCTGAAACCAATATATATATATAACAAGCTTGTTTGCTGAGTAAAAAGATATTGTGTCCCTAAGTTGAAATGTGTCTTGGTTGTTGCGTGGTTTAATAAAACCCCGGGGGGATTAGGGCCGCTTTCCTGCAGTCGTCAACATATATGTCAGTGCCTCTGCTTCCTTTCCCCAAAGCGTTCGGCATGACGGAGCATCACAGCGGCTAACATTGCGTCATCCGAGGCTCTGAGGCGGGAGCGGGGTTGGAGAGGTTTCTGCTGTTGGTTTAGGTGTTTTGAACGTGTCCATGTGTTTGTTTGGGATGAACGGGTGGCTGGTGTTCAGATCCGTCCCCTTCTGCCCTGCACCTGCAGTGTGTTTAACTCCCTGCCTCAGTGACCCATTTCCAGGATGGGGAAACGGGAGGCAGCTTCTTGTGTTTTTCACGGTTTGTCACGTTATAACCACAAACCTCAATGCATTTTACTGGGATTTTGTGTGATAGACTGACATAAAGTTGCACATAACTGTGATGTGGATGAAAAAGGATCCTCAGACGTTTTCACAGGTGAAATATGAAGGACGGTGTCCATTTTTTATCAGCTGCCTTTAAACATCTAAACATTGAAAATATCTTCTCACTTTTTTTCACAAAGTAACTCATGCTGTCAGTTTGGATGGACGGCATTTTGTTTAAATCATTTGAACCAGGTGAAAGTAAAACTGCCTCTTGAAGAGTTCTGGGTAACGCATACTTACAAAGTTTTTTCTATTATCTTAAGTGCAAAATTCATGATTTCTTTTATACACTCTGGTTAATGATTAATCAATTACTAACTTAGTTGCCGACTATTTGAATAATCAACTCATCATGATTAATCATTCAAGTTGTGTTCTTATCTGTCCTTTCTGACATAAATCGCGAGCCTCCCTCCTTAGCCACATGTTGTAAAGATGTATTTCTCTGTCTCCTTAGTCGAAGTGCAAACCCAGCAAATGAACCTGAGTCTCTTTCATGACGTATTGATAATCTACTGTGACCAGTCAAACCAGTTTGTTTATCTGGATGAAACCCTGACGTATGCTGTGCAGACCCTGTTGTTGATTTGTTTTGAACAACTTGTGTCCGTAGCCATTAGAACAAGCTAAGCTAATTGCCATTTCCGGCAGTAAATCCTGCACACTGAATTAATTACCCAAACAGAACACCACTTTCACAGCAAATGGGATTCTCCATTAGCGCTCTTACTTAACCAGTGAGTCTCTTTTGAAGTTTTCGAGCTCCCTGCAACATTTCGAGCTAATTTTCTCCGCGTGTTCACTTTAGCCGCAGGTCACCTGTCAATGTCAGCCGCCAGCTTTTGACTGACAGGTAATTATATGGCAGTCACGTCTGGGCAACAGACGGAGTGCCATTACAGAGCGCAAGGTCTTTAAAGAGCGTCCCGTTCCTGTTCCTGTTCCTGCGACCAAAGGGGATTTTCTCCAAATCACATTATTGCTGTTTGTTAATAATTCCAAGGACGAGCGACGATCTACACACACGACCTTGTCTTTTCGTTCGGTGGGGCCTTTCTTCTCAATGGAGCAGTGATGACTCTCTAACAAACATCCATGATGTGTGGGCAACATGAGGCTCGGTCGACGTGTCCTCTGGCTCTGTGACGTATAAACACCCCTTTACTTTCCACCTTTGCTTCCGCTGTGGGAGCAAAGAGTCTCAGATAAAGACGATGGAGCACAAGAGATACGGTTTATTCAACTCTTAAGCTGGTGGCGTTGGGTCTTTTGATACAAGAATAGCATTTGGAGGCAGAGTTTGCATGCTAGCAGAAATAATCCTAGTCAATATAAGAGAGCTGCACAGACGCAACAAAGCCTTTCATTTGTCGCTCCTTTACTTTAACGATTATGGTATTTAGCCTTGTCAGCCACGGTTGACTCACCCACTGGAGGAAATACATTTTGGATTTAGACATATGATTCAGTTACTTAGCATGATAATAACCGATTCTGATTAGCAAGTAGCATCAAATGACAATCTGGGATGTGAATTGGATCTTTTTGTACTGTCGGGAAAATGATACCAAGTCCTCAGAAGTCTTAAATCAGTAGGAAACGGAGATTTCCAAACTGAGGAATTCAAGTTTGGTAGACTCACTTCATTTAATTTTGAAGCAGAGAAGGTCAAGGGTCATGTTTAGGGTGGAATAAGGGATGGATTCACGATTTGCAGACGCATCTGAAGTAATGTAGCATTGGTGAGGTGAAGAAGTATCTCATGATGAGTCCTGGTTATTGTGACGTTAAAAGATGAGAATATAAATCGCTTCAAAATGTTTCTACATGTAATGTGACCTTTATTTCAGTCCAATTCGACTGAAAAGCAACTAAAGTTATTAGAAGAAGTTGTTAAAAAAAAGGCTTGTCAGTCTCTGCAAATCAATCTTCTTTGGTTAAGGTTGATGGAGCATGCCGTGTCTCAGTTTGACGGTTTTTACCCACTCTGCCCTGCAAAGGTGCTCCAAATCTATGAGACTGTGAAGACGTCTCTGGCCTGCTGCCCCTTTGAAGCACACCCACCCACAAATTCTCTCGTCAAATTTAGCTCTGGACTCTGGCTAGTCCGATCCAAAACTTCCCAAGCGCCAGTGAACCCATTAGTTTGTCGAACTGTTGGCGATTCAGAAAGATTCAATCCCATCCCTCATCGTCATTGTTTCTAGCAGAGACTGGAAAGTTTGTCTCTTAGCTTAGCGCCGTTTGGAACTGTTGACACTTTTAGCCATTTTCACAAAAACCTTAGTATCGTCTTCAGAAAAGTGAGCCCAGAGCGTGATGCTCTCTGCCACCGCCATCGGTACGGTGTTCTTTTAGTAATCCTCAGTGTTGATGTGTCAGAAGATTTTAGGAGATATTCTCTTTGGTCTTTCGAACCTCCTCCTTTGTTGGAGGCGACTGTGTCTCTGTGGGTAACCTAGGCGTCTTGTGATTGGAAGGTTGTAGGTTCAATTCCAGCTTCATCAATGTGACAAGGAGACTTAACCCCAAGTTGCCTACCAATCTGCGTATTGTGTTTGAGAGGGTGAATGGGTGAATGCGACTCTTGTGTGAAGCACTTTGAGTGGTCAAAATGATTGGGAAAGTGCCGTAAAAGTTCAGTCCATTTACCAGGACTGGAACTATTAATCATGTCACATTATTGAAATAATCGTCAACTAATTTAATCAATAAGTTTAAATCCCAACATATTCAGAGCCTTAATTAAGCCAAAACTGTGCAAAAATATGCATTTAGTTTATAAGTATAAGTTTAACCTAAAACTCAGTTTGGCTAGTTTTAGCTTCACCTGGTTCATATTCATTAAAGGAATTCCATATTATTGCATTTTAGGCAATAATATAGCCTAAAATGCAATAATGTTAATTTCCTTATTTAATAAATTAGGGAGTTTATATAAAAATGTTTAAGTGGTAAAATAAAAAAATCTGTATAATCTGTATTAATGGTCAGAATAATCAATAGAACAATCGATTACTAAACTAATCGTTAGCTGCATTCTTTACGAATAGCAGCTGTGACTGTTGTTGCATCTAGAACAGAGGAACTCGTAGTTTTTCTGTTCATGCAATGTGACTGTTGACGTTTGTTTCCTCCAGTCATCGGTGACTGACTTTATTGAACAATGTCTGATTCTGTAGGCGTCTTCATTTTGCCCTGTGACTTTTTAAAAAAACAAAAACAAAAAGTTAACTTTTGCTTTGGGAAGCAGAAAAGAGAGGATCTGCCATGGTGGCCTGTCGCCAGGTGCAGTGTCAGACCTTCAGAGGTCAAACTGAGTCCACATCTTGTTGAGTCAGAGCTGCTTTGGATTCAAAACCGGACCAAGTTTCCCGGTTTTGGCCAGCTTGACGGGCTGGACGTGGACCTACTTTTATATTGCTGCTATGCAAAGAGAGCAGGATGGCTGGACCCAGAACCAAACAGATTTCAGATTCTACGCTCTTCTGATCTGGAACAAACCTCCAGAAAACCGCGAAACTGCCGAAACAACGAGTTCCTTTTAGATCAAGGCTAAAAACCCACTGGTTTAGAGTTACCTTTGATTAATAGTAAGTCGAATACTGATCAACAAATTTGATGTGTGTGTTTGACAAAATGTAATGTTTATTGCTTGTGTCATAATTATGTTATATTTCTAAGGTGATTACTTTGAACTGCTTTGTTGCTGAAATGTGCCACACAAATAAACTTGGAAAGGTAAAAAATAAATCTCAAACACACACCAATGAGCATATAGGTCCTGCTAGATTTCCATAGCAACCGTTATATGAGCATTTTCACATTAAACCAATATTTGGGAGTGATGTGAAAGAATAAAAAAAGCCTTTTGATGTCCTACCATCACAAACATATAGAGTTAGCCAAATGTGAGCTGAAGCTGTGTGTTTTTAGTAACTAACACTTTTGGTGGGTCTTGTGTAAAAGAAATGGATGAAATGGAAAAGAGCATTGTTCCCATGGTTCAGTGTGGCGGAGGATCTGTGACACTCTGCGACCTTGGAAACTTTTTATAGTTCGCAGTTTTGTGATTTATTTGAAATAGCAAAGCATTTGGTGTGCTGCAGCTGGCTTACCAGTTCTGCAGTAAAATAATAATTAAAAAAACATGGTTGTCATGGCGTTTCAACAGAATAATGATAGTAAGCATATGCTCAGATAGACAAAGAAATGGTTTACCAGACACAAACATCCCTCCTCAGTCTCCTGTTTTCTCTCGCTGTGTCTTATTAAAGTTTAAATCTGTTTTAAGAATAATCTGAGGTGAATTCAAGTCTTTCTACGCAGCTTCACCAGCGTTGCCAGTTAAATATTGCCGTCACTGCATCCTCTAAAATGCTTAAATTACCCTCAATCTGCTGGATGTGCACACATGGTTCAGATCTGCTAACATTTAGGTCCCCGAAAAGCACCGAAAAAAGACCCTTCATGCTGAGAAAAGCACTACAGTCCTTTTTTGTGCACGTTCCACATTATAGAGAGCAAAATGGTTCATTATCACTCTGCAGTCTGTTAATGAAAGATGCAGATGAGAGCAACATTACTGTGCATGCATGGGCTATTTAACACTTGTTGTTTTTGTTTTTTTGTTGTTGTTTTTTTATTCCAATTTTTAATGTGTTATTTTGGAGGGGGGGAGGGGAGTCCATTTGTAGGGAAGCTGCAGTTTCCACAGCCAGAAAGAGAGAGAACAGCACACACTCTGAAAGCAATGTGCTTCTTCATTAATTTAATTGGGTTCAGTGTGTTTGTGTTTTTATGGATTTAGTGAGAACCTGACGTCTAGGTTATATAGATATGTGCACGTTCAGAGGACCTGAATACAAACTGAGAGGCAGCACAGTCAAAAGTACCAAAGAAGGCGATGAGGAATTTTCTTCTTGGTGGATTTTATTTTCTGACGTTTTGGATTTCAGACATCTTAACCTCCCAGTAGACAAAATCTGACAAGTTTTAGTCCGAACTGGAAACACATCTGCACTTCGCTAGTTGAAGAAAATAGGTCAGAACAAACCACAAAACCTAAACAAAAAACAAAACAGGAGTAAGATTATTAATCTAATTTACAAACTCATCTTCACAACTAACTGACCTGCGAACTAACACATTAAATACAGGGGGTAACTCCAAAGGTCGCTTTAAAGAAAATGAACAATACAAAAGAAAAAAGAAATTTGATCGTAGCTGGTAATCAGTGACATTACGAAAGCAGCAAACAGAAATAAATTACCAGAAATTCACCTTGTAACAGAAAAACATTTGAATGAATCTAAGGGTTTGGTAGTGTTAGCTTTAAAAAACATTGCATGGATTCAAACTGCAACGTAACGCCGCCACAAACAACCGTGAAGCAACGTTACGACAGCAACGTTTAAGCTAGAGCTTCATGACCAATTATAGAAAGATGAACGAAATTAGAAATATGTTTAAGAGATTACATAAACTTGTAAAGTTTGTAGCGTTTATAATTTGGAACCTACTTAATGTTTTTCTTCCAACAAAAATCACCATCGCCAAAGTAGCAATTTTGACTATATTTACAGACTTTTGATTTTTTTTTTTTTTTTTTTTTAAATCGGTGTCGGTCAAAATTGGAATCGACAGACATTTTAAAGAAAACTGCAATCTGTGCACCCCTAGTTTTCAGTTGTGCCGTACTAATACTATGTACGCATCATGTACTATATAGAGTTTTCATGACAATGTTGCTATATAGTTCTATAGTCCACCTTTGCCTTAAAATACGACCTAAATGTAGGGCCATCCTCAGTTTTAACGATCTTGTTTGTTCTCTGTACCAAATTTCCTTCTAGTGTTAGAGTAAAGAAATGCTTGTTTAGGGAAAAAAATGCAAATATTGGTGTGACTCGTTTAATTTCCTTTACTCATTTTATTTTTTAAGGCATCACCACTGTCCTGACCATGACGACGCTCAGCATCAGCGCCCGCCACTCTCTCCCCAAGGTCTCATATGCAACTGCCATGGACTGGTTCATTGCCGTCTGCTTCGCCTTCGTCTTCTCTGCCCTCATCGAGTTCGCTGCCGTCAACTATTTCACCAACGCACAGATTGAGAGGGCCAAGAGGAAGCCAGGCAAGTGTCCCCCAGTGCCCCAAAGCACGCCTGTCAAGGTGAAGGACACAGAAGAAGTGCAGCAGGTGAGGTGGTGTGTGTTTGTGTTTGTGTTTGGTTTTTTTTTCTTATTTTCCCTCTGCACCTCTCAGACTGGCTCAATAATCTGATCGCATTTTTACCTCAAGGGGCTCTCGGGCAGCATACCCGTATCTGGCATTTAGCCTAGATCCTTGAATGACGTGATGAGCGTGTGCTTGAGGATAATTAGCCTTGCCCTTGTGTGTGTGTGTGTGTGTGTGTGTGCGTGCGTGCGTGCGTGCGTGCGTGCGTGCGTGCGTGCGTGCGTGCATGCGTGTGTGTGTGTGGAGGATTTTGCAGCTGAATCGAGCAAGTTCTGATTCCAGAAGGACGTCATTTTCTCTGAATCTGTGGCTGTGTTCACACAGCAGGTTTTTTTGTTTTTTTTGTTTTTTGTTTTAGTTTTTGCTTTAGTATGGTTGTTCATTGTGCTAATTAAATGTGACCCCAGTGAGACTTGGGGTTGAATGGTTTATAATGGTTTTTAACCCCAAAGCGACTTGCATGCGCAGAAGAAGAACGTTGTCGTCACACAGCAGCGCGATGTTTACCGGCGTAACAGTGGATGGAGCCGTTTATGGATCGATTTTATTCAGCAATGTTTAGTTTATTTGACGGTATCAGGTATTACTTTGGAGTATCATTTGGTGACAAATGTACACCGCAGCTTTCAGATTTCATTTTGGCCAAGCTAAATTTTATTTCATTCCACAAGTATGTGCTAATTTGTGTTGATCAAACTTGAAATCCTAATTTTTGTGTTCAAGTTTATGATTAAAGGGGCATTAATATGCATAATTGACTTTACATGATGCTACAATGTTATTCCCTCATCAACAACAGACCTGGAATGTTGCTTAGATTATTTCATGCGTGTTTGAGAAATCCTTTAATCTCCATGGCAACCATTCATCTGTAAAAAACGCCAGGGTGGACCTAGCTCCACCTTAAAGTGAAGCTCCAGTTTCCAATCTTTGAAGCTTCCGCCTCACTGAGCAGGCCTCCCCCACTCAGCTCCTTCAGACTAGCCAGCAGCAATTGGCAAACACCTGGTGTAACTGAGCATCTGCTGAGCTCATTATAGGAGCTACTTCTCAGTGAAACGCTGGTAAAAACGTTGCTAAAAGGTTAATAGAGGAGCCATGTTGTGATGACTTCCTGAAGGTAGAGCTTCAGAAAGAGCAGGAGCTTCTTAAAGAGACAGAGGCGTTAAGTTACAAATTTGAATTGGTTTTAAGTCATATTTGATGTAAACAACATTTTGACTGAAGGTAACATAGCTCCTTGGCTGTGGTGTAAAATGGCACTATGCTACTGGAAAACATATGATACCGGCCCTTTAAGTTCAAGGGGTGTGATTACTTTTACGAGGCAGAGTGCATGAGCAGCGTGGGAGCTGACATGTCAGGTGAATCAGAACCAATGAGCATGGTTCTGGGAGCTACTGTAGAGATTCAACACATATTGAATATGTTGAATACACACCAAGTGTGTGTGTTCTTAAAACCCAGTTTTTATAGTTTATTCAGCTGTGGAGGCTAGAAGAAGAGCGCTCATTTCCCCGTGTGTGTGTGTGTGTGTATACAGTGTGTGAATCTCTCTGCGGCGGTAACACTAAACCGTATAGATCTACTGTTAGCTGATTGGTGACGCTGACACAACCCGGCAGCGCGTACAGTACGCCTGTTTTACACTAAACACTTTAAGTTGCCCCCTCCGGTCCAAATCCCAGCGTGGCGTAATCGTGCCTGAATGCGGTACAGTGACAACGGCACTTCAGTGGATTAGCAGGTTGCCACGGCAACGGAGCCCTGGTACATCTGTATAGGTTTCAGAGAGCCTCCTGTGCCGGGGCGACGGGGGGAATTAGTGCTGGTTTCCTCGACAGGGAGAGAGGAGAAGGAAGGCCCCGTTAGTCCGAGGCCCGGCACACGGGCCTGGGGGTCGTTGATGGGTTTAGGCTCTCAGGCTTTTGGCTTTTACACTCCAACACACACATGCAGCCATCCCCGGCCATGCTTTGGACACAATAATAATATCGGATCCTTTCAATTTTCAGAGTGGATAGTTGGGGTTGGGGGGTTGGATTATTTTTTGCAAATGCCTCAGTACCGGCATCACTCTCTCCCCGCTTGGGGAAAAAAAAAAAAACATCAACTCTCGAAGGATAAGCTCCTTTGATGCTACACTGCATTACCACCCGGATGCAGGCGCTACTTATTTTCTGTCTTAAGCCTGTGTGAAATGAGTGAAATCCTCGTTAAGTGACATCTGTGATGCACGCGCCTTTCGTCCGCCATCTGTGTCAGAGGAGGAGAGGGGTGGGGGGGAATGTAATCTGATCAATAGCACCAGGCTGATGTTTGCCTGATGCACTTTTCACTGAAACAATCCAGGCCGGTTAAGCACAAAGCATCACAGGCTCTAGAAACCATTCACTTTGTAGGTTCTTATTTTAGCTTATATAAAAATATTATCACGGTAGCTGTATGAGCGGGACGTACACACTTGATGATAAAAGATGTTAGCGGCGCCCCAAGTGGAGCAATCGTGTTATAGCGGCCAGTCAAAACCTAGGATGTCACCAGACACAAAGAATAACAGATAAATTAGCACTTGATGGAGTTTCCGATTGAGCTGGGAGTTTGTTCCCTGTGCTCTAGACACCTGCCAAGGACTGGAGCCAAAAAGTCAGAGGTTGCACTAAGCCTGTTGAGGTGCGTTTCAGAGCGTGCCAAGGTGTTTTGGGTGGAGTAAGTGTGATTTTGGTTAGCCAAGTCCAAGTGAGTTAAGGGATAGGCATCATGCAAAGGGTAAACAACGGAGAAAGAAACAACGTTATGTTACAGGATTACAAGATTTCTCATCTGTTTATATTTTTCTGGGTGTTTTGGACCAATGAAGAGATGTCATGTATTTCTTAAGAGTGTTTTTACCTCATGATTTCGCCTCCACCTAAATGAAGAACATCTTGAAAATGTCCCACTGACGTGACTCTCTCTCATCCTTCGCAGCAAGTTCCCGACACCAACGGCTCCCTGAGGAAGCGGATGAATTACGTCTCTCACCAAGACCCGGCGGGCCAGCCGAGGGCCCAGTCCACCACCAACATCTCAGGGCTGGGAAGAGGAAGGCAGCTGAGAGCTCTGGCCGGCGGCACCAACGGCAGCTCCTCCACCCTCTCCCGCTCCAGCCCCAAGTCCGAGAGCCTGCTGAGCGTGGCCTCGTCCTCGGCGCAGCTGGTGAAGGGCACGCCTCAGCCCGCGACGTCCACCCCGGACGTGATGGCGGGGACGCCGGGCAGGCGGGACGCCGGCCCCGCGTCTCTGCAGCACCTGCTTGGGCCCAAGCTGGAGCGCATCCAGATGATGGGCAACAAGCTGGAGCCGAAGCAGACGCCGTGCTCACAGCCGACCGCCGCCGGCATGGGCGGGATCAGCAAAATTGACAAATACGCCCGGATCCTGTTCCCGGTGTCCTTTGGGGCGTTCAATATGGTCTACTGGGTTGTCTACCTGTCGAAAGACACAGTGGTGGCCAAAGGGGGATAAATCTCGCTCTGGCGTTGAGGTTCATCGTGATTTCCTCTGGCGTGGATACAACAACAACAACAACACACTGCTGGTTTTTACCAGACAGTTCAATGTGCTCGTCCGTCTACAGTGGATCCCGGAGAACGCGTTTGCGAGGCATTTGCTGAAGGACCACAAGCTCGGAAACAAATCGTTATAATTAGAACGAACTCGGCGTGAGAAAGAACATGCGCACACTGGAGCGCTCCACTGGCCTCTTTCTACTTCACATTGCCTCATCTGATTGTAAAGGTCTCCAACCGCCTGGTGATCCATTCGGCCTGGAGAAAGCGTGGTGATTTGTCCTTTTCCTATTTTGTACCCTGTACCTTTCGGGATGCTTGGATATGTCATCAATCGGAACTGAACCTTTCCCACAATGTAAAAAAAAAAAAAAAGTATATATATATAAATATTTATTTATTAGGCTAAACAGATTTATATTTAATGTACAAACCTGATGCACTGTTGTGCCAGTAGATTTAAGGATTAAATCAATCGGAGAGCACAAAGAGATCCGCGTTGGTCTTAAATGCTCCCTGGAAAAAACAAGTGTCGAGCTAAAAAGAAGAAATTTGATGAGAAAGTCCTCAAACCGAGGCTTAGAGGAGCGCCGGTCACGAATGGGTGAGCGGCGAAAGCTTCTTGCGCCGAACCTCCGTGTGGAGTATCTGTGTTGCACAAGATGGATTAAGCAATACGGAGAGAAAAAAAAAACAAGATGAAATGTGGGGATAAATCAGGAAGGAAGCGGAGGAGACGTGCTTACAGTAGTCGGGTTTAAGCTTCTTTACTGTCTGGCCAAGATTCACACTTTGATTATGTAAAATGTTTAAAAAAAAATCCACATGAGCAAACAAAAACAAGAGAATGGAAAGACATTTACTAGTAGATCATAGTGGGGGCAAGAAAAGTAAGTTGCTGTTTCTTCTGGAGCCATGTTGCTCTATTTTTAATGCATTTCACTGGAAATCATCTGCTGTGTGACACAGAAAGGTTCTGAGACACAGTAACGGTGTTACTGAACCCGCTCAAGGGCGTCGTCAACCCAGACACCTGGATGGGGTTTCATCTCGTTGCCGGCAGCCAGATGTTACCTTATTATCAGTGCAGCTGTTGGTCACTTAGACGGCAGCGCGTTGTTTTCCTGCAGCTCGTACACTTGGCAGTGTCCTTGCTTTCCATTCATTGAAAGGATAATTCAGTTTTTTCAAGGTGAGGTTTTGTGAGGATTATATCATCAGTGTTAGTTCCCTTACAACACGCGGTAGATGTTATGCTGCTGAAGGTTTGAGGAAAGCTGAAGAAATCCTCAGAGGACTGGAAGGTTAAAACAAAATTCTGACTTAGAAACTTGGAAACCGGAGGGAGTTTCATATCCAGCAGGACCGCAGACCACATCAAGTTGAATCTATCCGTTTACTGGATTGAGTCAGCAGGCTAAACAGAGAACTCAACTACAAAAATACAAAACCTTAGCAAGTATTTTTGGTCTAGCTTCTATTGCATATGTCGTAGTACTTGAAATAAGACAAAACTAACTTACAAGTAACTTCTCAGCAAGAAATAGGAGTTCTCGTTCCACTAGCAGATTATTTAACTTATAACATGTTATAAATCAGGGGTGTCAAACTCATTTTTGTTTTGGGCCGAATCGAGATCATACATGCTCTTAAAGGGTCGGCTATGCCAGAATGTATTGCTAAAACCTGATCATAAACTGTTAAAATATCAATGAATTTCTACAATTAAATAATATTATTGAGTCCCTCCAGGGCTCAGTCCCTCCAGGATTTTGTGATTGTTTTTGTGATTTTTTTTTTTTTTTTTTGCAATAAAAATCAAAGTGTTTGTGGTACTTATTTGAAAATATTTGTGCTTATTTATGATGGTAAATGCGACTTTTTATTACTCGCTGTATAGATCATGGACTATAATCTAACATCAATTAAAGCTGAGTCGGCAGAAAAATCTGCAATAAACTCCCAATTAGGGCAAAAAAAGTGCAGGGATTTGTTGATTTTGCGTGAATTTCCACGATAATTCTCAAGAAACTGGAGGGACTGATTGATATAATTTGGCAGTAAGCACTGATTTGATTGAAAATATAACATTTAAGCAGACTTAATGTTTAGTCTAGAATCTAGATGGCCACTTAAGCTATGGTGGGCCAGATTTGGCCCACAGGCCTTGAGTTTGACACATAAGTGAAAAGATCTGCCAGTGAAGCCAGCACTTTCTCATGAGTATTAAGAAATTACTGACTTAAAACAAGCTCCTACATCTTGCTTGAAAAGTTTCTTGTTAGTTTGTTTGTCCTATTCTTAATGTACTGGGATATTTGCACTAGAACCTAGAGCTTTGGTGAGATTTACTGTTTTTTGCAGGGCTCTGTTTACTGCAGACTGCGTCACAACTAGTGATGACGACTTCAGCAAACCTCTATCCCTTCAATGTCACTTGACACGTTTCTTAAACATCTCCGCAACAAACGAGGCCACGTTTATTAACCGTTTGACTTAGGTTAACACTTGAACACTCAATGACCCAGATTCACATGCTGTCGCCGGCACATCCATTTTAAATGAGAAATGCAAAAATAGATCCCTCGTTTTTCTTAGGTGAAATGGTTATGCGGAGTTTAAATGTTGCCTTCACTGAACATGGGAGAAAATAAAACAAATGATTTCCTCTTTTAGGTGTGGAAGAGATGCTGGGCTGGTGTGGGATTCTCACTCCAGTATGATAGCTTTCATTAGAAACACAATGTGTGCAAAAGACTTAGAGAAAATGTTCAAATGACTTACTTTCTGATTACGTTGCATTTCAATTGGTTAATAGTCTGCACTGCAAAAACACAAAATGTTAAAAAGCATTTTTGGTCTAGTTTCCAGAGCAAACAACTTGGTACACTTGAAATAAGGCAAAACTTATTTACAAGTAGTTTTTCAGCAAGAAATAAGAGTTTGTTTTAACTCAGTAATTCATTTATATTGATGAAAACATATCGGTTATAAGTGAAATAACCTGCCAGTGGAACAATACATTTTATCCTAGAGTATAACATAAAGAGTTTTGCTCCACTGACAGATTATTTCAATTATAATTAGTACTTTTTCATCAATATTAAGGAATTATTGACTTAAGCTCCTATATGTTGCTGAAAAGTGACTTGTAAGTTAGTCTTATTTCAAGTGTACTAAGATATTTGATATTTGGCAACATTTTGGGTTTTTGCAGTGTACCTGCAGTATACACCTGCAATGTTGTGAAAAATCTTCTACTGTATTAAATCTGACCTATGAGAGACACGCTTGCTATTTTCTCCTTTGCTGACATTATTTTAGTTTTAAAACAGTAGTTTTAAAAAACGTGATCTCCTCTTTTAGTTTCAACACTATAACCATGCCAATGAGACAAATTGTAATTGGTGGACTTCAAACCCCATGAAGGGTACAGATGGGAAATGTGTGCGTTTTAAAACCTTCGCATACTCTGGTGGATCTGTGCCATCTGTGGCTATTAATAGCTAAAACTCGACCTTGGTTACTTTATTCATAAATCTGCACTTGTGGAAATAAGATAGTGAATGTAATGTCTCAACGACTGATCTTCATCAAATCTCCACGCTTTAACCTAGGGGTTGGACAATAAGTCAATAACCACATATACCGCAACAGACACGTTAATATGAATACTGTACCATCAATACCAACAGAGACATTATCAACACTGACCATAGGTGGCGCAAGACAGGAGAGGGAATGGAGAAGAAGAAAAAGACCGTGAGGAAGACGCTATTTGTGGACTATACAACGGAAAGCAAACCAAAGCTTTGGTTAAATAAAGACGTTCAGCAGTTAACACATTTTTCCAGAAATTTCACTGAACTTCTATCCGGAACCGCACAGCATTCTGGGGGATGTAGGCAAAGGAGGAAAGACTTAAGCCGCTCTAACGCTTACGGCTAGCTAAGCACGGTTGGTGGCTTCAACTCACTCACTTTAGTTAACCAGCAACAACTTGTTGAGTAACATGCAGCAGCAGTTTAATTTTTCGTCACTGTGCCTCATAACTCCTTAAAAATAAACGTGAAGTGAAAACTGGATAAAAGAGTTAAGGCCACAGTTTGGCAGTATTTCAGATATTTAAAACAAAAAACAACAATTATCGATATTGACTGATATGAAAAGCTTGTATCCTGACACGTTTTTCAACCATAACGTCCAGCCCTACTTTAAACCTAACGCCAGGAAAATAGATCTACCTCAGTGTTCACACTAATGTCCGAGTCAGACAGGAAACTCTGTTATTAAATCCAGTGAAAAGACACACTGTGGCACTTCATGGAAACCTTGTGGAATCTCAAAAGCTCGAGTCCTTTGGCGGTAATTTGATTCTTGTGTGGCTAAAGGACACACACCATTATCCTGATAGCAATAGGCAACATGATGACACTAAATTGTCCTCCCAGGTCATATATTGCTGTAATAGGCTGGTGGAGGTGAAGTAGAGAAGTCATTGAGCTGCCTAAGAAAATGGACTGTAGTGTGTTGGTGCAAATACACAAGAAAATGCAGTTGAGAAACCACAACAAGAGAATATGATGGGAGTTATTGTTAGGTGTGCTCTGCTTATGGATGAGAAAGTTATCATGCATGGCATAAAACCTTCCATTTTGGGCCAGTGACTAACCAAAATGACATGGTACCAGTTGTCTCACTGAACAGTTGGCGGATGAGCACGTCTGCTGACGGACATGTCACATGGACGGGATTTATGATGCAATTTGTACCTCGGTTCTGCCTCTAATAATAACCGTATCGTCTATGTGTGGTTGTTGCTCTTGGTCGATTGGTTGGTCCAACAGGAGTGCTGATGTTGATGAGAAACACACGGGGCTGATGGACAGATCAAGAACCTCCACACACCAATCCACTCTCCTGCAGTTAACCATGTGTGAAATTGATTTTGGCATCATTAGCTCTCGTTGATCTCTGTTTTATTTTATTTATTTATTTTTTGTGTGTTTGTCTCTAATAGGGTAAAACAAAGCACATCCCATTCAGAAAACACAAGACATCCGGGGGACTACTGAAGGCCCTGTCAGCAACAGATTGATGTTTGCTGCCATAACCGTAAACCTATATTCCGTGATTTCTCTGAACATGAGCCTGATTGATTGGAGCTGCCAACGCAAGGTTGTGTGTTTTTTTTTTTTTTTTGCTGGTGCTTTGTTTTTCTTTCTCTTTCTAGATAAACAGATTAAAGATGCTCACTTTGACATTTTGGTCGGAGGATTGGCATACAAAGTCGCCACGAGAAGAGCTTTCCATTTATCACTATCAAGGAAATCTGAAGCTTCGACTATCAGTTTGCCTTTGAGCGGGTCCGTGAAGGAAGTTTTACACGCACTCAGGATTCAAAACATGGTTTCACACGCCCTCTAGTGGTTCAGTTCACCACCAGATTTGCTTGCCATTTACCCATATTAAGGCATTTTATTTAATTTGAGGTTTGATTTAAGGGACATGCAGTGCTGTGGAAAAGTATTTGCACCCTTTCAAATGTCTATTTTTTAAAGGTTTTTTTTTTTTTTTTTTTTTTGCACATGTAAATGTTTCATATCATTAAACAAATGTCATTATTGGAAAAAAGACAACCTCAGTGAGTACAAAATTGAGGTTTTTAATGACAACTACATTCAAATGAGGGAG